GATCCTTTCTTATAAAATTGCTATTTTTTACCTTATATATATATATACATTGAAAAAAAATATTTTTATTTACAATTTTTCCCCTTATTTTAAATCTCGTTCTAGAATCATTTTCCTTATACTTATTGCTAAGTAAAATTGAATTATATTTTTTTTTATATTTTGTTATTGAATTTTGATTTACTTTTTGCCGTATTACTGGTAAGAGAAGTCTGGTTTATCCGCAATACGAGGTATTCACAACTTGAACTAAACGCTGGTGAACCTTTGTATTGCACACATGCCTTAATTTTAAGCGTGAGATAATATATTTGTAGTTAAAAATTGGAGTTGAAGTTTTTTTTACGTAGGGAGTAAAGTAGTCCGAAAAGTTTGAATGTTTGAAAGGAATTTTGACTAACCAGGTTCCTCGTAAGCCGAAGCTAAGCGTGTGGAATACTTCTTTTTTATGAGTGATTCTGAGTGTATGGAGAGAGAGCCTGAGGAAATAGTAGCTGGTGGATTAGGGCTTTTGGATTCTGATAGGCCAGTAACACGTAGCATCACTAGGGCGCTTGAGAACCAAGTGGTGGGATCGATATTTAATCAGGTTGACACGGGAATACAACTTCCGGTGGACTTCGTTCCAACGGATTATTTGAACAGGTGTTCAGCACGCATCTTCAGAACTGATTCAACTCACCGTCACAGCGAATCGAACCCACAAGAACCACAAGGCACAGAGGCAAATTGGATTTCTAGTTTTTCGCGAAAGTTAGACGAATTATTAGAAATGTCTGCATCTGACAAACCCAGTGAAACTGGGCTCGACGATCCAGGGACAAGTGCGCAGTCAGCAGGCTCTGGGGCTGAGTGTCCGAAAGCTCCAGGGAGTGAACCGGCTTCAACTGCAACCAGTGTCGAGCAACTGAGCCGCATGATGGCGATGATGGCGCAACAACACGACATGATGGCGCTGTGTATGGTCGAAGTTCGGAACATGAGGACGAATATGTCGGACCTCAGCAATAGGGTAGCTGACATAGAGACATCCGCCCAAGCCCTGGGTCATCGTTCCGCAGTGGCATCGACGCCGGAAAGCAGGGGTCACGAAGCACGCAACCGCCGAGGCAACGAAAACGTCACACAAGCCGATCAGAGCGCACAGGAGCCACCGAAGTGGAAGAAAATCGACTTGGACAAATGGCACATCAAGTTCGACGGCACTGGAAAGGGTAGGTTTCCCTTAATCCAAGGTAGGTTGGTATTGAAAATGGGCGAAATCGGACTTTAACCACGCCCACTTCCCATATAACGGTAATTTCCAGAAATACGAAAACTGCGATATTTTAGTAACTACTGAATATAATTCACTCAAAATTGGTATTTACAATAATTTTCAGACGAAAAATAAGAATATTATAAATTTTTGGAAAATGGGCGTAGCCACGCCCACTTATGGTTACATGTGCATATCTTGGTAACCGCTGCACCAATTTCTTCCAAACTTGGCACAGTTGTTGGCCTTCGCACAACATACCAAATCG